ACTGTAATTACATTTTAATTTTAATAATCTATATTATATAAATATTGCTTCCCACATTGTTCACTTTTCATGTGAAATAACTTACAGTGAAAAGTGAAAAATGAAAATGAAGTTCATATGAAAGATTCATGATCGTTACCCTGACCTATAGCTGCACTGAGTTGCACTGCTGCACTTATGGCTCCTGCACACAAGACGCGGTAATGCTTGCGCGCGGCGGAAGTTCGTGTGACAGCCAATCAATATGCTGCTTTCCGTAATAACCTTCTAGCTCTTATGGAAAAACAACATATTGATTGGCTGTCGCGCGGACTTTTGCCGCGCTGCAAGCATTACCGCGTCTTGTGTGCAGGAGCCATAAAGTAGATGATTTATCTTAAGATACAAAGTAGCCAATAACTTACAACAATTTGAGATGACTTGTATGTAAGATGCAAAACGATCTTACATAAGATCGCACTAAGAAACTGCTTCTAGAGACAAAAGCCTCGTCTCCCGCTAGAGTTTCTGAGGAAACAAATTCGAAAAAGATCGCTGCGTTGTGCCGCCATCTAACACAGCGTGACGAGTTCATGGTCGATCGAGCGGTCGTACGGTGGCTCTTAACGCGAGCGATTGGGAACGGTTGTTGAATAGCGTCGTCGGGATATTACGTTCTCATCGAGAACGCGATATTTCATGTGTCACCGAGACTGCCGACAGACAAGAGGCGTTTAACCGCATCCACGGAATAGCACAGCGAAATCGAGTGAGTATCGCCCACCGTTGTCGCAGCCGTTCCACCGCTGTCGCGCTGCTGCGCGAGCCTCTCGTGCGCGCGAAATCTTGTTGATAACCACAAACCGAGGTGTGTTAAATCGATCGACGAATTCGGGTGAGACCCCGACCGTACCGGGCGACTGAGAGGCGGCAGTTGCTAGAGCTCGTGAGTGTTCCCCCCTGCTTTACGGCGATTCGATGGGTGACCGGAGTGTGACGAGTAGTCCGTCAGAATACGAGCCGCGATCGTATTCGCGTTGGATTCGTAGCGTCTTAATAATGAGCTCTGTCTCTCCTGCAAATTGGCGTTATATCGCGTCACGCCAAATGAATATGGAGGCGTGCGTGTACATGCGTGCGTTTATGTTTTGACATTTCGAGCTGGTGGAAACAGATCTTCGACCGAACCTGTTCTGTTATACTAAATTGGTATTGATGAATGTACTGGACAATTTTGGAAAAAAACTTGGCTATATTCGAAAAGAGATCGTGAGATGTGAGAATATTTAGTCAGGAGCTATATGCAAGACTGTGCCTTTTGTGCCCAAGTTGCATAGTTGATTTTATAATATAATTTATTAATTATAATTAATATAATTTATTGAATTACACGAATTATAAATATAGTTAATATAAGGTTTGGTTATAATTTAATATGAAATAACAAGTAACTATTGGCTGTGCAAGAAACTCAACAGTTGAGTTGAGTTGAGTGCTCATTATTATTGGAGTATTTTTCTAGATCCATCATACATCTAAAGAATACTTCAATCGAAGATGATAATTATTTAATTGATTATCTTTTTGTATAATATAACAAATATCTATTGGCTATGTGCAGAAAACAACAGTTGAGTGAACGCTCACTATTGTTGGAATATTCTTCTAAATCTACAGTGGATCTGAGGAATACCTCAATCAAAGATGATAATCACTCAGTTATTATTTAGTATAATATAATAAATATCTTGGCTGTGTGCAGGAAACAATAGTTAAATGGGCATTCACAGTTAGAATATTCTTCAAAATTTATTATGGATCTAAAAGAATATTTAGAGACTATAATCATTCAATTGTTGCACAACTATAATATTTTCTGAATCTATTCATTGATGATTTATTATAACAACCTTGTTATATTGTTGCTCAGGTATGAGACGCAAGAGCGAAAGAAATAAAGCTAAGGGATCTCCAGAGAAGAAAGTTGAAAAACCAACGAGGAAATCGACACGTAGGCGAAGCAGGAGATCACCCTCTACTTCATCTGAGCAAGATGTTATGGCTGAGGAGACAACTAAGAATGTCACTCAAGTTGAGGAGACCGATAAAGAGATAAGTGTTGAGATACGTCTGCAGAACGAGGAACTGGAGCATCCACTGCAAGGAAACGAGGAAACGGTTACTTCCAGTGAGAGAAACGTGAAGGCTGATTCGCCGGAAGATGAGACGGATCACAGCGGTTCCGTGTGGAAAGTAGCCAGGGCGGACGCGTCGCCCGGCGAGATACAGAAGTTAAAATTATGCAGGCAGCGCAACACGTCCGACATTACATCAGACGCAACATCATCGAGTAGGAAAAGCAAGTCAAGCAAGTGGCAAGAAAGTGGTGAGGGCGTTGCAGAGGAGGTTGACTCGGCAGACGAGCAACTGGTTTCTTGTACAAGAATGCTCAGTAGCGCTGAACAGCCGAACGATCCCTCCTCTTCATACCCAGGTCAGGACTCCAACGAAGAGGTAAGTGATAGCAAGGAGATCCTGCCTGAAACCACTTCAGCCAACTTGTTGTCTGACGATAAACCAAACATAGATCAGCATGGTGAATCAAATGAGGCAAATTGCGCTGCCCAAATCGCTGATAGCGAGCCCAGTAAGCCGAGTAGCACAACTGCGCCGGCTCCTAGTACAAACGGTGATTATCCGTGCGAGGAGACCACCGCCGCCGTCGTTGCCGATGCTACCACAACTGCTACATCAACAACTACTGCTACCACTACCACTACTACCACCACCGCTACTATTGTCGAGGGCATCGACACTGTTATACCGAAGGAAGAGAAGTCTGCGGAAGATGCCAACGAAACGCCAACGGAAGCAACATTCAGCAAAGAGACGAACGTGGAGAATGCTCGTAGAGATACGAGCAGCGAGGATGAGGAAGATGACAAAGAAGTGAAAGAACGTCGTCCCGTGGATACGTCGTCCGACTCGAACGATGAGTCGCGCGCTAAGAACAGCGAGCGGTCGCCGCCGCGCGCCCCGATTCGTCGGAAACACCGAAACAAGTACGGGGACTCATCCAATTCCGATACAGCCGACTCCGAGGACGAGCCGGTTGACAGAAAGGTCTCCGAGTCTTACGTCGGGGAGGAGGAGGAGGAAGAGGAGAAACCGAGCACGGAATATTCACGGGAGAATAAGGAACGATCGTTGTCGCCGAAGAAAGCGAGTTCGCACTCGAACAATGTAATGGAGACGATAGAAGTCGAGCACTGCGAGGCTGTTCAACAGAAGCCCGAGGACACGAGTGAGAAACCAGAGCCAACTGTGTCGCCCGGTGTTCAGGCGATCACTCAAAAACCTGTCAAGGTCAACTTGAAGAGATCGTTGTAAGTATCGATGCCTTCGCGTGATGAGTTTTGAGCTGCGACATTTTCAGTTCAAATCGCAGAGATAACGCGCGTCTTGAACATGTTGTACGCAGGTTGGTCTAGGAGTTGTCGTTTAACCCCTCTTCTAGTTCTCAAGTTGCGATCGAGTTAGATATCAATAGTGCTTGCGATCGAATTATACAGTCATTTCTGTTCGTTCTTTCTAGCTCGGCAAGATTAGCGCCCGAGAAGAGCGAAGTGAAAAGAGACGATGCCGATGGGAGCGTTAACAATGAGTCTTGCAGTCAAAATAAGGTATGTCGATTCAAATTATCTTGTCGCTGTCAAGCGAACGTTCTATCTTTCGATATCTTCTTATTACGTTTGATTTTATATTTTAGGAAATTCATAACGGCAACGAACAGGAACCGAAATCTGTGCCCAGAAAACGTCGATGGGGGATTGTGCTTTCCACAGATACCACCCCTTCATTCAGTATATCGACTGATTCGCTCAAGGTAATTTAACTTTACGTCGTAAATAGTTTTCATTTTTGTGCCCTGAAATTTACGAATAATTCAATAATAATTCGATGATCTAATATGATTTATATATTTTATATTTTTATAATTATATATATATTATGTATATTAAAATATATAATAATATACCTATATATACAGGATCCACTTAAGTGTTAACACATCTATTATCTTCTAAACCGTTAAAGATATTGCAATGCGATTTTCATTGAAATAAACTAGATGAAGGCTATTGGTTTGCTAAATTGCAGTTTTTTGTATTTAATAGGCCTTGGTGCCGGGTGCAAAGCCGTTATCTATCAACGAAGTCCGTCTGTCGAAAGACGACGACGAGGACAGAGATCGTTACAAAAGTAACGACAAACGGCACAATTCCAACGACAGTACAAACGACAACAAGATAACGGACGAAAGTCTGCAGAAGAACGGCACTGCAAAGAAAGGCAATGCTAAAATGGACAATCATATCGGTACGTATCACACGTTCACACATATACATGCATGATTTATTGTGCAAGATTAACGAGCTTCAACGTAATCGTGCGAGATATATAAAACAATGTTTTGATTGTCTCTTAAAACAGCAATGAGGCGAAAGATATCGATCGTAAAGGAAATGCCACACGTGAAGTCGCCAAGCCCGCCAGCGTCCAAACCAACTAATTTTCTTTTAATCAAGAATCTAGTTCGCCCTTTCACGTTGAATCAAATCAAGGAGCTTCTCTCGCGTACGGGCACTATCGTGGAGAACGGATTCTGGATGGATCGAATCAAGTCTAAGTGCATTGTCGAGGTATGTATTGTACAAATAGGAACGATCACGTACCGAATTAGTTCGGTTTAGAATCTGTTATGGTTGCTCTGACGTTATGGCATTGTTATTTAGTATTCCAACGAGGACCAGGCTTTCGAGACGAGGCAGGCGCTTCACGGGATCTCCTGGCCTATGTCGAATCCGAAGAAACTTCACGTGGAATACGCCACGAAGGAGGACATGGAGACCGCCCGGGAATCGTCCAAGGACCAGCCGGCCGCACGCAAAACTGAGCCACTCTCGTCATCCGACCCGTGGCAGCAGGATTGGGGTCGCGAGGAGAAAACTAATGCGACTAAGGTATCCTCGCGTTTTGATATCTTGATGTCGTTCAGCAATATCCGGTATTTAACGAAAACATATCGATGTGCCAGGTGACGGTGGTTAGGGAGTGGGATTTGGGCAAAGAAGATGGCCAACAACACCTCAGGGAGAAAGAACGCGAGAAGAAGGAGCACGACAGGAAGCGGCGACAGAGAAGTCGAAGCCCTGCATTAGAGGCGCATCTACCGGCGCCAGCTCGTAAATTCAAGAAGAAGGAGGACGATCCGCCACCAGCGAAACTGCTAGACGATCTCTTTAGAAAGACGAAAGCTACGCCTTGCATATATTGGCTGCCGCTTACAAATGAACAGGTGAGAACTTGTATGAATATTCCAAAGGCTAATATACAAACACAATGTAATCAAGTGTAATCAAAGGTTGCGACACTTTTACTTCACCGAGTTTCGCAACGCATTCTGTATCTAACAAGAGATTTTTTTTTTTTTTTTTTTTTTTTTTTTTTTAGAACAAAGATTGTTTTTTGTATCCTTAAAAGATATATTTTTCTTTGAATAGAGGATACATTGCAAAATTTATCGAAGTGAAAGTGTGGCTACATTTAATTATTTGACTGGACGACGGTAAATTAGAGTCCCTATAATCAGAGTCTGGCCAGCAGAGGAATTGTGGCTAAATTCTTCGAGAGAGAAAGATATACATTTTCTATCTCTCTCTGTAATCTATCCTTTTCTGACGCGCTCGCGCATGCGCTTCAGTCTAGCTGCTTGGAAGTTAAGCTTATAAAATAAAAGCGAAGAAAAGGTTAAAGTCTTTAATGTATTTAAATGTATTTTGTTGTACAAATTTATTATACAAATATTTCTGTAATACATGTTTCCTTTCTTCTATTTTACTTTTCTTCAAAAGAAAGTCCCAATTTTAAAATTTTACTTTTCTTCAAAGGAAAGTGCCAATTAACAATTTGTTATATACAATTATGTATAATTATACATAATAATATATGGACAAAGTTTATATCTCATTCTGCATAAAACATTTTTCATCGGAGTGTTACTGGATGTAATATGTTGGCTATTGATAAATTATTGCTGTTAAGTAATTTCAATAATTTTATAAATAAGTTATCTACTGAACAATAATAATTTATCACTGGTTATTACAATTAGTAATACGTTTCTATAAAAGTTATATTAAATTTTCTTTCATTGTTTATATCTAAACAATTATTATCCACAAAGAATTTCTTATACTGTTAGTATATGTTAATAGCAACTGTTACATAAAATGAATGCATCTGATATTTCATTCTTTTGCAACATTTGTTTTTTATTTCTTAAATGCAACACACTATAATAATACGGATAAGATTATCATGATTCAAATATGAGCGGAAGTAGCCACAAATTGCCGACCAATCAGAACCTGCACCCTGTTGGCCAGACTCTGATTATAAGGACTCTACGGTAAATCATGTTTTTTTTTTTATTCTTTCGTTAAATATGTATTACACGTGTGTATCCAAATTATTGCAAATAGAATAACTATTAATAGTTATTACTTCAAACTTGTCTCAAGTTAGATGACAAATGAAATCAGAGTTAGAGAGGAGTTTTTCAATCGCGATTGCAGATATAAATGTCACATGTATCATAATCCAACTGAAAAACTCACAACCAACTCTGAATAATCTGAGACATAAATCTGGACATTTCACATGAGACAAGTTCCATGTTAAAATTATTAATACGGGTTTAAAACATTCAAATTTGTTTTTAGTTTTTTGTAAAATCTGGTTTGTCGTTATTTTGTCAGTACTTTATTTAATTCTCTGTTGATGCATTGACTACTTGTAGGTAAAATAGTCTTACGAACGAACGTATATGAAACATTGTAGATAGTCGTGAAGGAAGAGATGCGGAGACAACATATGGCGGAACACGCGCGCAGACTGGAAGAGATGAGACGCGCCGACAGAAACAGAGACGGCCGGCGTCGACGTAGTCCTAGGAAATAGACGAAACACAACGTATCTTTCCTCCTTTGACCTGACTTAAATTGAACTCAGCTTAAACTGGCTCACCTATCTCCTCTTCCCTGTTCCTCTTCAAACGCACTGGATTTTATTTTTCGTTATATATTGTTTATAATAGTTTTATTGTTTCAGTTGCAATCAAGATCATATATTAGCATATTAATATTGATCATGTCATGATTTTCTTTTGTGATAAAAAATGGACTGATCAATTCTAAATTTTTGCATATGTTTCGCGATTATTTAATTGCGTTATTTACTTTTTTCTTTATTTTTTTTTAAATCTCAACTTATTTGATTTTTTAGGTTGCTTACCAATGGTGTATCATTCGACCGCTCAGTGCATGATCACCGACAAAATCCCTGTGACTCCTCGAATCCCTCCTCATGCATCAGAATTAAACCTTACTTCTTACAGGTCAACATTTATCTATCCCACAGAGCGTCAGTAACCGTAGATCAGGCACGGTAGTGGTACTGTGTGTTTGCGTCGGCCGTGCAGCAGACTATACAGTTTTACGTCATGTGAGAGACACACATGTGCTCGCGGCAACCCGCACGAAACGACGTGGGAACCTCTTTGAGGAAATAGACAAAAACGTATTGATTTGGCTCATGGAATAGACTTGGTATTCCTGACTGTCAAGTAACGTTCGTTCCTCCGCTCTTCTTTCTGGCTTTATTTTTCTTTATGATGAATTGGACTCCTGGCGCGAACACGCTCGGATCAATGCGCCATCGTGTGGATGGAAACACGTCATCGTCGTCCGGAACATAGAAGAGCATCATTTCGAACGTCGACGGACAAGAGAAAGAAACTTGCGTCTACACATTAGATATTCTTCGTAGTCTACTTCAACTTCCTCTGAGAGTATGATGGCTTTGGCAACCTCGGTACCAGCTACATTGAAGCGTCGTCAGTGTTATAATCGTGCGATAGACTAGCACAAGGCGAGGACATGTATGTAAATATAAGCGATATTCCACGGTGTGACATGTAAAATTATTAATAAATATTAAACGAAAGAACAATTTGTTAGGATACACGAAAGTATACATACATTTATCGCTTACTTTTTACGATACACTGAATTGAAGAATTTACTATTCACGTGTAGATGGAAAATTAAAAGCATGGATAACATACAAATATATGTTTATGCTTAAAACAAAAACTGCTTGTGTCATTGTTGTTTGATTCGTTATGCCTATCGTACAGTTATTTTTGATCAATTTAATTGCAAGTGTCGCGCGACATAGAACAACACGTAACGACGCTTCAAATCATTGCAGATACATATATATATGTATATATATATATATATATATATAAACTTATTCGATATTTTTATTTATATCAATAATAACATTATCAACACTAACATCGTAGTTACTTTTAGTTTACAAAATCCGTGGAATACAGAATGTGTGCATATTGGCTATTAGATACATCACGGTTACAAATACTATCGGTAGAGAGTGAAAAAGAGAAAACGATAACAACAAAAAGTACTTCAGATTTAATGGTTAAGTTAATTTTCGATTTGTACATTTTTTATTGGTTTGTATATACTTAATTCGTAGATTTGTAATTTGAGAAATGAATATCACGCGAAAATCAATATGTACACGTTACAATCTGATATTTCATCGAAATTTACGCAAAGACATTTGTCTTTTCAATTTTTTTTGTTATTCATTTTTCAACAAAATGAATTATTGAAGCAACGTACGTAAAATTTTTTGCTTTGAACGGTTTTTTTTTAGTATTTACTAGTTCTTTTCGTTTTGTAGCTGCGATTCTTTCGTCTTTTATAGCTTTTTTGTTGGATCAGTATCTATTTGGCGTTAAACGTCGATTCAATCGTTATCAAATTCAAGAAGTGTGCCATTTCTCGATAAGTCAAGAATTTCCTGAACGAGGAAAGAAATAAAGTGCTTATTCAGATACTTTTCACGAATATCTAAAACATATATCATCAACATGCACGACATATGTTGACGATTATACGGGAAAATACTTCCATAGAATGACAGATAGTCGATCACGATGTTGAGTGGTATCGTCCTCCGAAATGCAATCCTTCGTGCGCGTTAACAAAATAAATTATTATCTATCATTATGACGATACTCACGATAATATATTCTAATGATAACGGGTCGGTGAGTGGCACTGTCGTTCGCCCGTTATCGTTGTGTTACAGTTCTTTTATATTTTGCTTTCTTTTTTTTATAACGCGGATTCGCGTAATGCCGACTATCGCTCATTCCCATTACAAAACAATTTCACTCACTGCACACTCATCATACAGACATTGTTCTCGCCATCAGTTTTATTTAGTCAACCTTCACAACACTATAAATTTTTCGCACAAACCAAAAGCAGGCGAAGAAACCGATTGTACCTGAAAAAAGAAAAAAAACGAAAACTCTTTTCTATCTCTTGAATGCTGCAAGTGGTTAGAGTGTTTACGAGTGGTACTTGCCTGTTAAGAGGAAGAATAAGTGAACCATAATAAATGTATATCCAAAGTACAGGAACGTGGAGGTGGCGCCTTCGATGTCTAATTTAGTAAAGAAGAAGTGTATACAATAAATTAACAAATAGACAGCGGTAAAGCCAGACGTAAGAAAACTGCGCCACCACCAATGGTAATCCTGTGAAAAGTTTTGTTACAGTCAAGACTTAGATGGCAGAAACAGATTGTGCGTCTTATATATATAAGTCGTATACTTACCTCCGCGCAAAGATGAAAATAGCAAAGCAAGATCGTCGTCTCAGAACACGTGATAACAAGTATAAGGAAAACCAAAAAGAGAAAACCGAACATGTAGTACACTTGGCTCGACCTGTTTGAGAAAAAGCACTCGTGTATAGGAACGTTTAACATTCTATATATATAAAATATATGAGAATGCTTCGCTTCATGATAGTTGCCACATATAATACTTACCAGAGAGAATTAAGTATGAAGAACAGCTGTATGAATATGCAACCGAATGGTAAGACACCACCCATAACAATTCCGGGTACCAGTTGCGTATAAAAATTCTGCTCCGGTATCTGTCGGGGAATCTGATTTGTCCTTACTGGATGCTCCAAAGCCTGCACGATATTGACATTCCAGTCAATCGCCGCTATTATGACGCGAGATAATACAAATATAAATACTATTGAATTACCCTTTTCTTGAAACCAAGATAAGCGCCGATGAACGTTAATGGCACCGACACACCGAACCACAACGCCAGCAGTGCGATCAGAGTGCTGAAAGGTACCGCAGCCGAGCTTCCGTTTACCCAGAATATCAGATTCATCATGAAAAATAAGCTGAACACGATTCTGCAAAAGAAAGGAAGATAATCTCGAGATAAATCTAGATTGACTTGAAAAATGATTATATCTTGGATGCTACAAGGCAGCTTTTTAATCTCGGAAACAATGTTTTACCCAGGGCTTAGCATAGACGTCAGTAACACGTTAGACTTCCATTTTTCTCCTCCGAAGCTTTTGTATATCCGGGCAGCTACATATCCCGCAGTAGTTCCCAGACAGACATACAATACCATCGCGCAGGTCATCAGGGCGCCTCTATTAGCCGGAGAAAGGAAACCCAGGCAAGCGAATGCTACAATGTTCATTATAATACTTACTTTTTGCTCATGATATCGAACATTTTTTTAAGAAAAAGCAGAATGATTAATAAACGCGGGAGTAGCGTACCTAGCGTGACTAACGTCATGAAGAATACTTGAACACCAGAACCAAGGAGAACGGAGAGTAGCATTCCTTTGCGCGGAGGACGGAACACATCGCCGTGCACCAATTTCCATCCGAATTCCTCTTGCGCATCTTCTCCTGATTCTATCTGGAAGTAGGCCTGCGTTATCGCAACACAGACAAAGGAATATCACAATCTTGTAAAAGTGAAGAAAACGTACGGTTACCTTCACCTTTTCGCAGGATATATATAAACATAGTTCCACGAAAATTCAATTAAAAGCATCAATTTTCCATTACCCAAGGAGTTCCTTATTATAAGATTAGTACAGCACGCCAGTCGATTTTTAAAGGGAGTAATTTCATTAAACCAAACAGCCTTGGAGGACGATTAAAAATTGAAACATTTAAAACGCACTACTGAATATTTCTTTGGAATTTTGTCACGTGTCATCAAAAAGCTCTCAGCAAAAATTCTTCAACAAAAGTTCTTTTATAAATAGATTAAAAATTTATAAATTTTTATTAAAATATTGATAGATTGATATGCTCATGCACTTCTGATATCAGGCGGTTCAAGTTATCAAGTTATCTCTGTTATCAAATAATATGAAATTATCACCAAGTCACATGGAAAAGCTCTTATAGATCATTATTTTACACGCGTTCACCTTGTACTAATAAAGGTGTGAAAAGTATGTGTGTAGAACAGAGCTCGGAATTAGTTGCCCATTTCGGTCGATTCTCAGGAGCTACGCCTTCTATCTTCCCCTTGCCGCGAGCGGGCCACAAAAGTGACGGTCGAGCCTCCAAGCTTGAAGCCGCGACTGGCCGCGACAGGAATTTTCGGAAGGGGAAGATAAAAGATGTAGCTTCCGAGAATCGGCCGAAATGGGCAACTAATTCCGGACTCTGGTGTAGAACATAGAAAGAATTATATGCGATTGTTAAGTCATACAATTGATTAGAGTATATAAATACCTGATTATATCGCGCGATGTCTTTGTGTAAAGTGCGAAGCATTATCATAGCCACCATGCCGGAAAGGAACAGAACAATTATCAATGAATTGAGAATGCTGAACCATTGAATATTCGTATGCGGCATCGATTCCAAAATGTAATCCCATCTGGACGACCATTTGATTGTATTATTCCTCTAAAACGATCAAATCCTTTGAAATTACGTTCTTTTTCTTTTTTTACTACCTAATATATTCACATACTTACCACAAATTTCACGGAATATGTGAACGTTATTTGGAAGGTTTGTCCCGCTGCTTGCGCAGTGGCTGGTATTTCCAATGGTATTTGACTCTCACAATCGATCGTGCCGGTATGTTTAATACTGTGAGGCACGACTTTCGCAGCTGTTGATGAGATTAGAATTGTAACATATGTATTTACGACGGTAAAAGTATACAATTAACATACTGATTAACATAATAGATTGGTGCAAAAAATTCGTCGTGTTTGTCAAATAATAGAATAATAGAAACCAAAATTATCCAATTTTAAAGGATTAATAATTTTTTTCAAGTAAAATGGACAACATACAAATAGTAATAAGGAATCAGGAACAATCATCGAAAAAGGCAAATCATCGGAAAAACGCAGCAGGAATCGGGCTGTTGATGAAAGCAAAAGAAATCCGCATCAAAAGTTAGGAGCGAGTAGGAAAGGTAATTGAAATTACAATGTATCGTTTTCAAATTAATTCTGAAAAGAAAAATATCCATTAGAAAACAATAATGAGAAAATACGAAAAACTCGTTGACTTTGCACTATAAATTCAGTAAGAAAGTAATACTTTCAGCCCAAACAAGATTAAAAAAATCGGTGTATTATTCTGCGCGATAATACACCAATGTTATTTAATTAATAACTAAAAATTTACTTCTTGAATGGTATAGAATCTTTTTATTCAATTTAATTTAATCTACAAACACGACGATGGGCGTCGCTATTGTGACTCATATGCCTATCGCTATATATGCGAGATACGGGACACTTTGCGCCAGATATCTTGTAAATGTCTAAAAAAATACTAAATCAATGTCAACCCTCCGTATATACACACTGGTTTCCTGGGCAACCCCAGCGCAACTTTCTCGGATTGGTTTTATTGTGTTTCTTTTCTCTTTTAACCCGTATATCTCGGAATATCTTCTTATCCGTATATCTTCTTAATTCTATCGACTTTTATATATATTTATCATAGACTTGTTCCTTAATCAATTCTCTATAGATAAAAAAAAAGTGAATTGAAATATATTAATTTTTGATAGAATTACAATAACAAATATGGATGAGGTCCTCAGGACCTCAGTGTGTATAGTACGTAGACAAAATGTGTGTATACAAAGGGTTAAAAGTCAGTGGAAATTGAATTGGTTTTGAGATGTATGAGAAAAGTACTCACATATAATACGACCGCCATTTTCCTTAAAACCCGATCCCCATTCCTCTGTAGCACCACTGTGATAAGTTATTGTAAGATTCACATGATTGAACAGGTAATAAGTGTTTGGCTTGTTGTATGGACCCTGAACATGGATAAAGAAATGTCCATTAATAAATTCATCTTACATGATTCAGAGATAATGTAATAACTTAGCTTTGTACTTACATGTATAGTGCAAGTATCTTGCTGTGATCTAGGTTCCTTGGAATAGCAACCCATGGGGAAGCCAGTACTGCAATACTGTCGTTCATCCTCTAGCTGATAACACCATGTCACTGGCATGTTATCTAATAGAAACAGGATACATAAGTAGAATCATTAATGATCTTTTATAAATATGTATTTTCAATGGATTAGATTAATGTTTTTCGATTAATGTTGCCCTACCAACAATCCAATGATGTTGATAATTCATTGCCATTCCTTTCCTCAATAATTGCAGCTTCTTTTCTGATGCTGGATAACCTCCTGTATATGTTTTAATACACACTTTATCACACTTGACATCTTTTAAGAATTCCAACTGAAAATATATGTAAAATTTTTAAATCTCCATCAGAAAGTAAATAATGATATTAAGTTTTACTGTGCTCACCTTGTATGGAGATGGCCTTATACGTTCTCCAAATACAACTTGTCCCAAATTCTCAACTGGCGACTGTCCATCTTCCACAGTGCAGAAGTCAAAGCTGAAATTAAGAAATTTTCAAAATATTAGAAAAACGTTTCAAGCTAAAAAAAATTGTAAAATATTATAATTGAATACTATAACATTACTTACTGACTGTACTCATAAGGTATAACATACTTCTCCGTATTCAATCGATTTACATATAACTGGATGTCAGACTAAAGAACAGAACCAAATAAAATTTCTATAATTATATATTCGCCAATAATGATATAACACATTGTATATCATGTCATGCTATACAATATAGTACCACTAATTGATAGCATGACATTTTAAGTTGCATGCAGTCATGTGTTATCATTTCTAATCAACAAAACTTAGTAGACAATACACAGAAGGTTATGACTCAATATATAACAAAATATACGCGATAAAAATGTAAAGTATAGATATGCAGATAAAGCCCACAATACATAACGTACAAAATATTCATCTATACGAACTTACGTATACATATCTTATGTACACATATACATGTACGTATATATGTATGTATAGATAAAACATCGATCATAACCAACCTCAGTTGGCAATTTTTCACGGTTTTTGCGTAACATACCTTGCAGGTTTCTAAGGTTTCACCGGCCTTGCAATAATTCACGGGCGCCAGACCAGGCAAATAGAAAGCCAATGCGCCGTAGAGTACAGACAGTGCACAGAAGACCGCCGTCGTTTTCATCGCTGTCACAGTCGCGGCCACAAGTCTCCTAAATAAAACGTTCTGCCTACCGTGTTTTCTGCGTTTGTACTCTCCTACATAAAAGCGTCGATCGCATCATATGTTGCCTCGTGCGAAGGTTTTTTTTTGTTGAGATTGCGCGAAACGTCGTCGCGAGTAACGCTTATCACATCTCGAACGCTGCCATGACACGTCATGAAATGCGCGACAGCGACAGTTCGGTGACCATCGGTGAGTAATAATCACCCCGGCCCTCTCCTCTTCTCCTTCAGGCGTTTGTAGAGATATAGCGTCTTTGAATCTCGTGCCGATTGACAAGCGGCTGCACGATTGGTTAACGGTAATTTCTCCTAGGCTGCGTTCCAAAACTCTATTCGACGAATAGAGTAGCATTTAATTGACCAATAAGAGCAAAGATAACTAGGATTTTTTTATCATGATTGGACAATTAAATGTACTCTATCTGTCGAGTAAAGTTTTGGAACGCAGCCCTAAAGTCGGTAGCAACCTGCAGATTTGTTCTTTTTAACTAATGGTCTGTTCTTTTCAGCTGCATTGCTGAACTAATGCAATAAGTTAAGGCTGGTTTATGATGGTCGTAATCCATTAACTTATGTCGAAACCATAAAAATTGACCAATCACAGTCGATTCTTCTATAATATTCTTCTATAATTCGACTATGATTGGTCCATTTTTTACGGTTCCGGCATAAGTTAACGGATTACGGCCATCATAAACCGGCCTATAAGGTGCCTTTATATAGGAGCGTCGAGCGTCGAGCGTCAAGTGTTGAGCACATGCATAGGCTGCGTTCGGAAACGTCACTCGAGTACTCTCCCTCTCTTTTTATCTCACTCTTGTATTTCGCTCACTCCAACGGCTATCATCTAATAGTGTGCACACGGGATGTTTACGTTAAATCGAGTACGAGTTAGTTCCATTAGGGTCGAAAAATATAATAGGCACAACCATCTAGTATCTTCATGGTTCAAGACAACTTAATATTGGGTGTTTACGATAATTCGAGTTGGAGTTAGTACGAGTTAGTTTCACTAGAGCCGAAAAATATGATAGGCACAAGCATCTAGTATTTTCATGATTCATGACAACTCAATGCTGTCCGATAAATCGAGTAGAGTTAGGATAACATAGTGGATAGTATATGTATAAGAATTAACAATATCAGGTAACATAGTTTCGTAAAATATATAACAATAATATTACGAATCAATGAGTTGTTACATTTTAGAAAAATTAGAAGCACTAAATTAAATTATGAAAAGATATCATGTATTTGTAAAATATTCAAAAGTAGAAAACAATTATTCTAACCTATTATTAATCTGTTATTATTGAATATTTCACAAATACATGATATCTTTTCATAATTTAATTTAGTGCTTCTAATTTTTCTAAAATGTAATAAATCATTGTTTCGTAATATTATTGTTATATATTTTACGAAACTATGTTACCTGATACTGTTAATTCATATACTATCCGCTATACTACCCTAACTCTACTCTACTCGATTTATCGGACAGCATTGAGTTGTCATAAATCATGAAAATATTAGATGTTGTATCTATCATATTTCTCGGCTCTGGTGAAACTAACTCGTACTTACTCCAACTCGAATTATCGTAAACAGCCATTGCTTTTCGATTAGAGATGCCCGATTCTTTCCCTAACAAATTTAGGGAAAAAGGGTTGTTCGTGCATGCATGTTTCATACTTTTCGCTTTTAAAAAGAGATGGACGCCTAATCAGACGCTTGGAAGAAACAATTGAGTTGGTTGTCTCGTTTTTGCTTCTTCGAAACATTCCAATATACTTCTGTCTAGTTTTAAATACGAAAAATGCGAAGAGTGCAAACAACATAAATAACCCTATTTTTGGGGAAGAATCGAATCGATTTAGAATCGGGCATCTCTATTTCTGATGCTCAAGTAGAGTTAGTAAAGGGACGTCTATATTGGAAGTAAATAGCAAGAAGTAGGAAGTAAGAGTAAGAAATTGACCAACCATAGTCGAATGTGAGAAGAATAATTAACTATGATTGGTCAATTTCTTATTCTTACTTCCTACTTCTTACTGTTTACTTCCAATGTAGACGTCCCTTTAGAGTTAGCTAGAGTAGTGGATAACGTGAGCATTAGGTAGTTGATTTTCAAAAAATGTTAGTTATTAATAAGTTTAATCTCATATAGTATGTTTATACCAAACGTTTAATACGCGTACCAATTAGTAATTTTATGTTGAATTATTTTGATTTCTGCGATGTATATAAACAACGTCATATTGAAATAGTGCAATATTGATTATAAACACGTATCGTATTAATTGAATATTGCATCGCCGAAATTAAAATAATTAGATATAAAGTTACTAATTGATACGCGTATTAAACGTTCGGTATAAACATACTATATGAGATTAAACTTATTAATAACTAACATTTTTTGAAAATCAACTACTTGATGTCCACATTATCCGCTACGCTACTTTAGCTAACTCTAACTAACTCTACTCGTGCATCGGAAAGCAGTACTGAGTTGTCTTGGACCATGAAAATACTAGATGGTTGTGCTTATTACATTTTTCGACCCTAGTGGAACTAACTCGTACTCGATTTAACGTAACATCCACAGTGTGTGTTTCCGAACGCAGCAATAGTAATATATAGTGAGTTGTTAGTTAGGCGACAATTTCTCGAAAAGTGGAGGGGATAATGTTGGTACCAAGGAAAATCTCTATAATATAATTTAATATAATTTAAAGATCTGTTTTTTGTAACTACATACTGCTAAACTAATGCAAAAGGTGAGAAAACGTATACTTGCCTCGCTTCAATTTATTGCACCAGTTCAGCAGTGCACAAAGAACAGATCTTTAAGTTATATCGGTTGCTTTCCAACAAGAGACACAAGTCGATAGAAACGAGTGGGACCCGACTGACCACGATACGATTGGACACAGATTGTAATGATTGGTTTGATCTAGTAATTCACAAAATAGTTCTTTTCATCGGTTGGTTGTATCCAATCGTACCGTGGTCAATCGGGACGCTCCCAGAATCGGGCATCTCTAATACGCATACTAAATAGTAGCTTTCTATTAGATAATCTTAATATCGACGATATATATAAACAACGGTATATTAAGCTATTATAATACTCATCAAGAAAACGTATTATATTGATTAAATGCGTCATCATTGATATGCATTATTA